CTTTGGCTTGGCCTTGCATCACTGTCCTATTTTCACTCACTCATCTTCTAAACCACTTTCTCCTCCATACGGTCACAGATGGTGTGTATCAGGCGCTCATTACGCAGGAGTCGGAGGGCACCCTGGATGGGTCACCAGTCCACCCCATGAACAAATAGGGTGCACAACAAGTCACCAACTCACTCAAACTTAGGGGCAATTCAGACTCTCTAATCAGCCTGATGTGCATGTTCTTGGCCTTTGGGGGGAATATCCAAAGAAAACACACACATAGGTAGAACATGATAAGTCCATGCAGGGGTTGGGGTTTGAACCGGCAACTTTTGTCCAGTGCTTCCTTTCGCTTCACCATGCAGTCCTCTCCTGCGACTTTCCCTTCTGCATACACTCTAGTGTTGATCAGCGGGTTTCTACATAACTATCAAGAAAACGTTATTTTATTGACAAAGTTCCTGGAATTTTAGTTCAGTCACGGAAAAACAACAAATAATAACGTGTTGACTGGGAATGTAGAGGCTGCAAAACAACATCCAAACGAATTGAGACAGCTGGAAATCAGCCATAAACAAAAGGTGTTTTTTAATGCCACAAAATGAGACTTTTAAAGTGCTGTGTGATTTTTATTTTTATTTTGGGAGGGGGGGGGGGGGGGGGGGGGTCATGTGACTAAAGTGTTTGGGTTTTGCTGGAAAGGCAAAGACCAAAATACTTTCATGCAGGTCAGGTTAGTTTCCTGAAGTGAACCTTGTAGCTTTAAATGCGACGCAGTGTGAAACGGTGACTAAACATGAGCAGCAAATGAAGATTTTTTTCTTTTACAAAAGCAAAGAAGAAGGAAAGAAAACAATCCTTTATGTAGCTCCTTTCAAGATAAAAATCACAAGGCGCTTCACAAAAAAAATGTAAACTAACATTTACAAAAGATTTAAAAAAATAATTAAAAATTGGCTTAAAATTTGAAATCTGTTGTGTCCTTGTGCGATTTCTAACAACTATGGGAAAGAATGGGACATTTTAGGACATTCAGTGTAGGAAATGACTCTAAAAGCAGGCTCTGTGTGTGGTGATGAGTTGTGGCATAACTGGGTTTGTGCTGGGAGTGTAATAAAATATCCCTCCCAAACCATCATGCTACAGACACCAGGGACTGGTGCAGACAAGCAGAACATGTTAGTTACAGACCTCCACCAGAACACCAACCAAAGCTGGAACCTGAAGACCTGCCTGTTTGAGTAGGGGTGGATTTATGGAAAGCCAAATGAATCCGACTTTGAAAATAAGCATTTTGTATGCCAGTAATTTGTAACAAACCCTGACTTGTTCATTTAAACACAATTACAGGTATTTTCCTTTAACGTGTGTGTGTGTGTGTGTGTGTGTGTGTGTGTGTGTGTGTGTGTGTGTGTGTGTGTGTGTGTGTGTGTGTGTGTGTGTGTGTGTGTGTGTGTGTGTGTGTGTGTGTGTGTGTGTGTGTGTGTGTGTGTGTGTGTGTGTGTGTGTGTGTGTGTGTGTGTGTGTGTGTGTGTGTGTGTGTGTGTACAAGTATCTGTAACACAATCTTGGCTACACTTTCTGTTTGGGGGGTTAAATGATCAGAACTGAAAGGGGTTATAAGGGTCAGGTAAGCAGACACAAAGAAGATTCATGTGACGGCCATTGCAGAGAAACAGATAAACACACACTGAACAACAGCTGACAGCAGGTCCTAAAGGTATGTAAACCCAGCTTTGTGATGAAAGTTAGTCCGGAGTTTATAAATTCAGGCTGAATATATAGATCCTGTTGATTTGGGAGATGATGGGAATGAAATGTTTAATTGCCTCAAAGTAATTAGAAAGTTGCTTTTTCCTTCTCAGCCACCCAAACAAAAGATTAAGTCTTGCTGTCTCTAACTCAGTTTACTAATGACCATCATAAGCCAGGATCACATGAGAATTAAAGGGAGACATGCATCTGTCGTGGTCTCACCCAGCTTGTTTGAAACACTTGAGGTTAAAAACTGTTGCAGCTCCTGAGCCGAGTCTGAGGATGCTGCCTGATTAGAGAGGGCTCTGAATTAAACTGATTACTGAAAATGAATGTGTGCATTTTCAGTCCAGGCCTGGTAAAATAACTGAGGGGAAACGCCAAAGCGGGGGAAGCACAGAGGAGCTAAAGCTAGGCTAACTGCTAACCCACTCAGTCCAGTGCTCCCCACGCTCATAACCAACATCCGCCCCTCAGGTAATATAATGGACTGCATCAAACTGTGGAGATCCTCTCAGCAGCAAAAGAAACTGGTTTTACCAAGTTGTGGCTGAACAAGCTTGATGACATTCTCAGTGGCCTAGTGGTAGAGTGTCTGCCCTGAGACTGGGAGATCAGGGGTTTGATTCCTGGTCGGGTCATACCAAAGACTTTGAAAAAATGGGACCCAATGCCTCCCTGCTTGACACTCAGCATTAAGGGGTTGGATTGGGGGGTTAAACCACCAAATAGTTCCCGAGCGCGGCTGTGTCTGCAGCTCACCGCTCCCCCAGGGGATGGGTCAAATGTGGAGAACAAATTTTGCACACACACCTGTGTGTGACAACAAATGGGACTTGACTTTAACATTCTTATGTGTTTTAAGGAAATGTGCAGAGTACAAAGTTCCTCCGTAACATCATCTCTCATGAGTGCAGCTGTGTCCACTAGCCCATATAGAGCCACCATCGTTCCAGTCCCAAAGGACACCAATCCAGCATGCCTAAAAGACTTTCACCCTGTGCCTCTCACACCAGTAGTAACCAAGCGGCTGGTTTTAAAGCACATCAAAAACAGCCTCCCATAATCAAGACCTCTGTTCGTTTGCACACAGGGCAATCAATCCACAAACGATGCCATCTCCACAACACTCCACCTTTTACTTTCACACCTGAGAGACCGTGCCATTGCTCTTTTCACTGACTTCAGCTCAGCTTCTAACACACTTACTCCACAACAATTGTGGGAAAAGTTGTGTCTGAATGGATGCTGCAACCTGCCACTGGGTCTTCAGTTTATTGACAAGGTGACAGCAGAGGGTCAAGGTGGATAGTCACAGGTTAAGTGCCCGCTCTGTAACTGGAGGGTTGCAGGTTCGAGCCCCAGTCACTGTTGGTCGTGGACACTTCACTCTCCTTGCCTGCTGGTGGTGGAAGGGACTTTAGTGTCAGTGTTTTGCAGCCTGGCGACCTTCAGTGTGCCTCAGAGCCGCCATGGCTATGAAGCTCATCACATTCAGTGTGTGAATGTGTGTGGGCGTGGGTTTCTGTTGTAAAGCACCTTGGGGGGATTGTAGAACTCTTGAAGACGCTATATTAATGAAGGCCATTTACAAAGTTCATCTCAGGGGTGTGTCCTGAGCCCACTGCTGTTCAGTCTGATCTAACATGACTCCCCCCAGAACCAGCACCAACCACCACATCATTAACGCTGCACCGACAACAGTTGGATTGACTCATCATCTGCTTACAGGAAGGAGATGGAGCTGCTTGTAGGGTGGTGACGATTATGTAACCTCACCATCAACACAGACAAAACAAAGGAAATGGTGGTTGACTTCAGAGATCATCACACTCAAATCACCACGGTAGAGAGGGCCAGCAGTGTGAAAATCTTGGGTGTTCTATGGCGTATGACTGGAGCTCTTCCATCAACACCACAGCAGTTATCAAAAAGGCGCATAAACGCCTCCATTCTCTCAGGTGACTCAATAGTGCAAGACTCCTCACCCCTCACCTCATCACATTCTACAGGTGCACCATAGAGAACGTCCTGATGCGAAGCTTCACATACTGGTTTGGCAACTGCAAAACCAACCGAAAGCGACAGCTGACCAGGACTGTTAAAAGAGTGTTAGTGGTGGTCAGAGGGGCCGACGGCGCCAAATGGCAGCCTCGCCTCTGTCAGACCTCCCCAGGGCGGCTGTGGCTACAAGCAGCTTACCATCACTAGCAGTGTGTGAATGTGAGAGTGTGTGGAAAGCATCTTTGGGTGTCTAGAAAAGCCCTATGTAAGTTCAATGCGTTATTATTATTGTTATTATTATTATTATTATTATTAAAACAGCCAGCAAAACAGTGGATGCATCTGCAGGACTGGAAAAAATGTACGAGCAGTGCTGCACGCATCATCAAAGATCATCACCTCCTTTCATGACCTGTTCACCCTCCTACCAGCTGGGAGGTACAGGAGCATCAGCTGCATGACCACCCGGATGCGCTGCAGTTTCTTTGTACAGGCTATAAGACTGTTAGACATACAAAGACTCCCCACTTGAAAAAACATCTAAACACCCCCACTACCATACACCTAAAACAGAAAAGCCAGCACACACACTTTCATTTCCACTTCTCTGCTGCTGTTGAGTGTGTCCATACTGTGTCACATGAAGCTGTAGTGATTGTTGTTTTCATTTTCTGTCTTATAGTGTTTTATTCTCATTACATTAACAGGGACCTCATGTCACTACATACTTAATGTATTAGTAAGTTGCACCAACAGTGAGCTTGTGAGAAGAAGGAGGATGAGGAGAAATACAAGCACAAAAAATAATAGATAAAATTGAAAAATGTAAATTCAATTTACAAATAAAAAGTCTAAACAAGGTTGAGGAACAACATCACGTGGTAAGACAATTTATCATCATGAATCATGAATCTTGTGTTATTTTGGCCTCAGAAAATTAAAAGTGCAGCTGATGGACTGCAGTGTGACTGTCACTCCGAGCACTGAGCTGTTAGAATGAGTCAGAGCTGCTGCATAGACCTCCTGCAGAATAAATGACTTCTGATTCAGTGATCTGCTTAACTGGAAGGTGTGGTGATTAAAAAAACGTGCAGGAAACGAGAGACGCACCTTTAAGGTGCTCAAACCCGCTGAGTTTGAGCACTATGAGTGCGCAAAAACGCGCTGAAACCATCAGCGCTGCTTCCTCTCATGTGTCAGTATTTAATACATTCACCCAAAATATCCGCATTTTTGATAATTACACTCACCAATAACAGCTGCTGCTGCTGTCAAAGTGAAAGGCTGGCTGAACCCGAGCATCCTTACGCACGCAGCGCGCCCTGCCGCCGTATTCTGCGGACTTTTGGTATCCTAAGATGCAAAATGAATCAAACGACTCGCAGCAGTCCGTTGGACATGCTCTGTGCTTCAGCCCGTAGGTGTCGGAGTCCGATCCGGACTGTCTCACGCTGTCAGCGGGATGATGTCCCTCAGCGTCTCCGATCGGTTCAGCGTTCAGAGAGGAGGAAGAGGAGGAGGGCGGAGTGTAGGAGACGTTCCCTCACATGCGCTTTTAACTTTGGTCTGCCCGTGGCAGGAAACACCAGTCCAATAACAGCACAGTGCTGGAAAATCTGCGGACATGACGCGATTTATCTGTAGGAGTTCTAGATGCCAGCTGGGTAAATGGGGGAGCAAAATATCAACATGCAGCTCATGTTCTGTCATAAAATGATTAAATTGCTCTTTGGCAAGACACTCAAAAGCATCCAATACCCGTTTCCCCTGAGACACACGTTCACTCACCATCTGGTTTGTGTTCAGTCTTGTTATTTATCATGAGAACTTTCAGCTTCAAAATGATCTTTCAGTGGGAGAACATCTCCCACACAGATTTTTTAGTTCCTCTTTTCTGATCAAGCAAAATACTTTAAATCAAACTTTTAGAGGCAGCAATGTGACATCATTTAATAGAACATTTGCAGTTAAATGCATCACTTTGATGACATCTTGCACAGTGATTATGATGTTATTCAATGAGAGATTCTGCTCATGAATGCAAGCAGACTATAGTCTTGTTGGTGATGTCTGGATCATAGAATGATCCAGACACCACCAACTGGAGAGTGTTTAGAAAACCTGAGTAAATTAATTGAAGGATTATAACAGGAAGGTTAGAGAACTCTCCCTTTGCTGCACCTGGACTTGACTATCATTGCTGCAAGTATTACTTTAGCATAATGCAAAAATAAACCAAGTGCCGGCTCTTTGCATGACTCTCTGCTTTGAGTATTCTGAATAATCCTGCTTCAAATTTCACACACCCCTTTCCAGGCATCCTAATTTGTTTTTGTGTTTAAGCATTGGAATGGTTTAATTTACTGATTGCTGTATGTCACTGAGTTAATATTTTGATTTCACAGACTGGTCACACCTTATTTAATGACACTTTGTTTGATTAGCTTTATTAAAATAGAGTTCTTTGATTTATTAAAAGGAGAGAGTCCATTCTTCATTCTTCTCTTGAGCTGGAAAGAAGCAGTTTATAGCAAATGCATGAGACCTTGAGGCCAGATCTCATGCAGACTGGTTCTGTGTCAGAGGAGAGGGGGAAAATGACTTTTGGTGGAAAACAGTCATTTCATACCATTACAGTCCAGGTTTTAATTTAGACTTCATCAGGACCAAAACACAACAGATCACCCATGTTCTTCCCTTCCTGGACGTCTATTGAATTCTAAAGCATAAAAATTCCAATTAAAGCTGCAATCTGGAGTTTTCGTCCTTTCAGGAAGTATGTATGATTTTTTTAGAAGTATAAGTGATTGCCTTATCTTGTATATAATGTAAGCAATATGTCTTTCTTTTTTGGCTTTTCTTTAAAAAGGGTGACCGGAGGGTGTGTTCCAACTATAGGAGGATCACACTCCTCAGCCTCCCTGGAAAGGTCTACTCAAAGGTACTGGAGAGGAGGGTCCGATCGATAGTTGAATCTCAGATAGAGGAGGAGCAATGTGGTTTTCGTCCTGGCCGTGGAACTGTGGACCAGCTCTATACCCTTGCAAGGGTGATGTAGGAGGCATGGGAGTTTGCCCAAACAATCCACATGTGTTTTGTGGATTTGGAGAAGGCTTATGACCGTGTCCCCAGGGGCACCCTGTGGGGGACGCTCCAGGAGTATGGGGTGGGTGGCCATTTGTTAAGGGCCATTCAGTCCCTTTACCAGAGGAGCGTGTTTGGTTCGCATAGCCGGTAGTAAGTCGGACCTGTTCCCGGTGAGGGTTGGACTCCGCCAGGGCTGCCCTTTGTCACCGGTTCTGTTCATAACCTTTATGGACAGAATTTCTAGGTGCAGAATTTCTAGGTGCATGGTGTGGAGTGTGTCGAGTTTGGTGGCAGGAGAATCTAGTCTCTGCTTTTTGCGGATGATGGGGTCCTCCTAGCTTCATCCAGCTATGACCCTCAGCTCTTGCTGGGTAGGTTTGCGGCCGAATGTGAAGCGGCTGGGATGAGGATCAGCACCTCCAAATCTGAGACCATGGTTCTCGACCGGGAAAGGGTGGCTTGCCAACTCCGGGTCGGGGGAGAGGTCCTACCTCAAGTGGAGGAGTTTAAGTATCTCGGAGTCTTGTTCACGAGTGAGGGTAGGAGGGATCGGGAGATCGACAGGCGGATTGGTTCAGCATCTGCAGTATTGCGGACGCTGAGCCGATCTGTCGTGGTGAAGAGGGAGCTGAACCAGAAAGCCAGGCTCTCGATTTACCGGTCGATCTACGTCCCAATCCTCACCTATGGTCATGAGCTTTGGGTAATGACTGAAACAACGAGATTGCGAATACAAGCGGCCGAAATGAGTTTCCTCCATAGGGTGGCCGGGCTCAGCCTTAGAGATAGGGTGAGGAGCTCGGACATTCGGGAGGGACTCGGAGTAGAACCGCTGCTCCTCCGGATAGAAAGAAGTCAGTTCAGGTGGTTTGGGCATCTGGTGAGGACCAGGATCTGCCTCCTGGACGCCTCCCTGGGGAGGTGTTTCGGGCATGTCCTGCCGGCAGGAGGCCCCCGGGTTGACCCAGGACACGTTGGAAAGGTTACATCACCAGTATGGTCCGGGAACGCCTTGGGGGTCCTGCCGGAGAAACTGGTGGAGGTGGCTGGGGAGAGGATGGTCTGGAGCTCCCTAGTTGGGATGCTGCCCCCACAACCCGGACCCGGATAAGCGGAGGAAGATGATGACGATGACCACAGCTACACCCCCACCCCCCCACCCCCACCCCCCCCGTAGCTCGAGTGAGCTTGTTTTTCATCTTTGTTCGTCATCATCTTTAACCTCAACTCAACTACAATATTATGAACTTATTACCATTGCGATAGCAGAACAGAGAAAATATGCATTGACAATTTGATATGAAACCAAAAAACATCAATACAACATCTCGTTTTGTTTAAATTTAAAAGTCATTAACCAATATGTTGTTTTAGAAAAATCAGCTCCTTACAAGTCCAAACGCTCAGGAGGACGCACATTTCTTTTAGGCCGCTCTCTAAGGCTGTGTTACACCCCTCTGCGGGCTCAGCTAGGGAGGAGAGGGGAATAAACATAAGATGGACCAGTATAATGAAAAGTGACCCTTATTGTTTATGTTTATATTTATGCTTATGTATTTAGCAGACGCTTTTGTCCAAAGCGACTTACAAGTGATAATCGGCATTTTGCCCTTGAGGCTAACAACAACAATAACAATAACAACATTGACATCAGTCATGGAGAGTAGGGAACAAGTAGTGGACAGTAGAGAGGGGGGACGGGTGCAGGCAAGGTGCTAGTTAAGAAGATGCTCTCTGAAGAGCAGGGTCCTCAGGAGTTTCTTGAAAATTGAAAAGGTAGCCGGAGTTCTGGTAGTGCTTGGAAGGTCATTCCACATTTGTGGAGCGATGCATGAGAAAAGTCTGGATTGTCCTGAGCGTGGTGTAGGCACTGCTAGCCGACGATCCTGTGATGACCGGAGCGGCCGGACGTAAGCCTTTGCAAGAGGATTCAGGTAGATGGGAGCCGTACCATCTCGGACTTTGTATGATAGTGTTAGCAATTTGAATTTGATGCATGCTGCTAGCGGTAGCCAGTGGAGCTCAATGAACAGAGGGGTGACGTGTGCTCTTTTTGGCTGATTGAAGACCAGACGCGCCGTTGCGTTCTGGACCATTTGAAGAGGTCTCACAGTACAGCCTGGAAGACCAGTTAGAAGGGCATTGCAGTAATCGAGGCGGGAGATGACAGTAGATTGCAACAGGAGCTGGGTGGTTGTGTTAGGTATGGTCTGATCTTTCGTATGTTATACAGCGCAAAGCGGCATGAACGGGCAACAGAGGCAACATGATCTTTAAAGGTCAGGTGTTCATCAATCACAACACCCAGATTTCGAACTGCCTTTGAAGGAGCCAGAGATAGGAAGTCATTTTGGATTGAGATATTGTGCTGTATGGATGGTTTTGCTGGGATGACAAGTAGTTCAGTTTTAGAGAGGTTGAGTTGGAGATGGTGGGATTTAATTCATTTTGATATGTCAGAGAGACGGTTTGATATTCGTCCAGAGACAGTGTGGTCGTCCGGTGGAAATGACAGATAGAGCTGGATGTCGTCTGCATAGCAGTGGTAGGAGAAGCCATGTGATCGAATGATCTCACCCAGTGAGGTGGTGTATTGGGTCTGTTCTAGCTGCTGCTAAAGGACATACACCTGTCTTGGGCCCCAAGATTTTCAATAAAGGTTTGTGATATGTAATCAGGGTAAACCTTCGGCCAAACAAGTACTTGTGAAACTTCATCACCCCAAAAACTAAGCCTAAAGCTTCCTTTTCAATCTGTGAATAGTTTTTTTCAGCTTTGGTCAGCATGCGAGAAGCAAAAGCGACTGGCTTTTCGCTACCGTCAGGCATTCTATGAGAGATCACCGCTCCTATTCCTACAGGAGAAGCATCACATGCTAATATGAGAGGTAGATCTGCTTTGTAATGCACCAGGACACGACTTGAGAGAAGCTGCCTTTTAGCTTCCTCAAATGCCTTCTGACACGATGTTGACCATTCCCACGTCACATCTTTTTGTTGTAAACCCATCATGGGTGCAATCAGAGTTGAAAGGTTAGGAATGAACTTGCCATAATAACTTAACAAGAACAAGAATGACTTGAGTTCAGTAGGGGTAGTGGGAACGGCTGCATTTGCAATAGCTTCACATTTCCCTTGTAATGGGTGTAAACCCTCTGCATCAATAACATGCCCTAAGTAAGACACACTGTGCTGGAAAAAAGCACATTTATCCTTGTTGACTCTGAGGTTATGACCATTAAGTCTTTTTAAAACTTCTTCCAAATGTTCCATGTGTGACTCTGTGTCCTGCCCCATAATCAAGATTTCATCCAAGTAACAGATGACACCATCTATGCCTTGCAATACTTGATCCATTAACTTTTGGAATATGGCAGGTGCACTCATATGGCAGTCTGTTTACTTGGTAGAGTCCTTTATGTGTGTTGATGGCTAAGTACTGTTTAGAACCATCATCCAGCTCTACTTGCTGGTATGC